TCTAATCCTTATAAAATTAAACTTAGTTTGCATCTGATGTATATTTCTGTTTGGTTTGTAAATCTGCCAAAGGAATTGGATTTTGGAATATAAACAAGAGTAAATTATACGAATGGTCCCTCTGATTTGGGGTAATTTACGTGGTGATGAAGATATTAACAGGCCAGATTTGCTTTCTTTGGTTCAAACTCATCATGCACAGGTGCATGCATTATTACTTATTTACCCTCCTGCACTTTTTCCAAGATTTCTAATGTTCCATTTGTTTTCATTTGCAGTGTATATTGCTGGGGAGTTCAGAAGACTATGGTTCAGGGAAAGAACTTGAACGTAAGGAGCTTGAAGAAATTCTTTTTAAGTTAAATGAGTCAATGAAAAGTGATGTTAGACTACTTGAAGCCCTCATATTCACTAGGCTCTCTTTCATCTGATTCCTTGTTATTAATGTTAAAGATGCCTATTAGACTGTTTCTTCTTGAGGTCTATCTTACTTCCACCTTCTCATCTTAATTATAAGGTAAGTGTCTTATTTGGTGCTTCACTTGCATATATTTATCTTATTACCTCATTTTGTTATTTGTTTTCTTACTATTAGTTAAAACTTTCATTCTTTACACATTTTATATATTGTATATAGCAAGTTAGCAACTGATTGCACGATAAATAGATAATTTTTCATCTCTTGGTTGATGTGGATGCCAACTTAATATGATGTTTTTTTTATACAATTTGTGTTTCGGATACAGGGGAAAGCTTCAGAACTTAGACATTTATGGCGGTGGAGGTTTGTTTAAAGTGGAAGAAAGTTGATTGATAAAGTTTTTCTTTGGTATGTTATCATCTAGTGCCATAATCTCCAATATTTCCCTTATTTTCCATTTCTAAGTTGCTTTAGGTGTTTTCAAGGTATGTTATGGAACAAATGGTTATCTTTGCTTTTAGTATTTTACTTCTTTCTAACCCATACTCATCCTTATAATTGAAAATAGTCCGTGTAACAAATATTACATGATCCCTTCAAGATTAGCGATTAAAGAGAATCACACTCCATATAATTGTGCTTGAGTAAAGTCTTGTTACTTTTTTATTTTACTTAATAGACTAAATGCGGACTAGACTTAATCTACTAAGTGTTTATTATAGCATCCTACTTTCATTTCATCTTATTACATATAACAATGTTAAATGAAAGAAATAACATAACATACTTTGATTTCTCAATATGTGAATCTAATGGTTGCATAATTCAAATTTACAGGTCTTGTCGATGTGCGTAGTGTCAAGCAAAGTAGCTCCGATTTTGTGAAGGTGGTGACAAAGTTCTTGTGGTTCTACTATTATTTGTTGATGATTTTCATCTCCTTCACACTTGATATTACATTTATTACTATTGAAATGATTATTTGTATGACATTTAATTTTGTGCAATGGATTGTATTTTTATATATGATATTTTATTTTGTATTATGAGACATTGAATGTTAATTTAATTTGAAAATTACTAAATCTATAAAAATATATATTTTTTGAAACATTTAAGATTATGACACGCAAAAATGTGTCATCTTCCTTTATGACAGGGGATTTAATGATACGCATTGCGTGTCGTAAACGTGCGTCGTAAGGTTACGACACACAAATGTGTGTCGTCTTCCTTTATGACAGGGCCTTCCTTGATATGCATTGCGTGTCGTAAATACGCGTTGTAAATGCTCGTCGTCTCTCGTTATGACAGTGCCTTTCTTGACACGCATTTGCGCGTCGTCTGAGCGTTTTACGACACACATTGCGCGTCGTAAAAGGCTGTTTTTCTAGTAGTGTGAACTCTTTTCTCTCTTCAGATGAAAATATAGTTGTATGTGGGTGTGTAAATCAAATATGAAAACTTCATATATATATATATATATATATATATATATATATATATATATATATATATATATATATGTGTGTGTGTGTGTGTGTGTGTGTGTGTGTGTGTGTTTTTGAATTCGAAATTGAAAACCCAAACATGTATGGGTGTATGTGTGTATGAAGTCGATTCTGAAAAAAAACATATGGGTAAGTATTCATCCGATCTGGATATGTCAGTGTTCTTGGCTGGATCTGAACTCTCTTTCTTCTCTTTCCTCTCTTTAATAATAAAATCAAAATTGAACAGGTGAGTTTGTGAACGAAGTGGCTGCTTTGGGTTCATATGATCCGAAAGTGTGTGTGTTTTCATCATATTTGGATATAATTTTTAGTGAAAGGGGGAAGAAGACGAAGAACAAAAACTGATGATGGTGTTTGGTAGCAACTTTAATGGAGGGTATGGTTGGTATGAGAGAGAGAGAGAGAGATAGATAGGTTAGTCCTCTTTTATTTTTAATTATTAAAATAAATAAATAAATATTAGATTTTTAAAAAATAAAAGAAAATTGAAAAAAAAGTTCCCCAAGGGTATTTTAGTCATTTGAAAATTATGAGGGACCAAATACGCAACGAAACTAGCTCCAAAGGACCACGAAGCCAAAAAAATTGAGGTTAGAATGAATACCCATAAAAATACCATCGGGACTATTTTTTCAATTTTACCATTAATAATTTCTAAAATCTTTGACAAAATTGCAAAAACGGTCCCTGTAGTTGTCATAAATATATGGTTTTGGTCCAAAAATCTTTAGGGTGAATCCGTGGTCGAAATTTGAATAACTTGTGTGGTTTTAGTCCCTATCAACTTGAGAGACTATTTTACCCCTTATATTCATTTTATTTTTATTTTTTATATTTAATTTAATGTTTTTATTAATTAAAAAAGAATAAAGGCTCGCCTACCATATCTCTTTTTTTTCTCTATCTATCTCTCTCCCTCTCCCTTCTTCTCTCTCTCTCTCTCTCTCTCTCCCTCTCTCTCTCTCCTCCCCATCCTCTCTCTCTCTCTCTCTCCGATCAACTTCTCTTCTTTATATCTTTTTTTAAAAATAAACACAAATACCCACTATCAAGAACATCTACACACTCTCAAGAACACCTACAATATCTCTGCATGTCATCACCGTGCACCACTGCTCTCTGCCACCAACCACCTCTATCCCCCACCCTTACCACCATCTCCCATTCCTTAACTCGATGAAGCTTCACCAACATCCACCACACCACACCGTGGTATTCATCGAATTTCTGTCGAAAAATCCTAACATATGCCTCTCCCTCTCAGATTTGAATGCCCATATCTTCTCGACCATGCATTCTCCATCGTATCCGTTGCTGCCTGACGAACCACCACCCACCACTCATCATTGTTGTCCTCCGTCGAAGCTGTAGTCGGGGCTAAGGTTTGTAGAACGGATTCAGCCTTCACCTTCGTTGTTGTCTGCCATCATTGTTCACCACTTCCATCTATCTCTGCCAGAAAACCCTAACCCTCGAACAAGAAAACCAAAGCCCTAAAAATATACCTCTCATGACGTAGATTTGAAACCTTTCATCAATTTATTTAGATCGGAACCACCAAAGTAAGAAGAAGAATGACGAGAGAGAGAGAGAGAGAGAGAGAGAGAGAGAGAGAGAGAGAGAGAGAGAGAGAGAGAGAGAGAGAGAGAGAGTGTTGGTAGGGTGGGGTTTTCGGCTAAACACCTAACGATCTGACGGCTATGGTAATCTAATGACGTAGAGATGGTGGTGGTCCAACGGTCAACAATGAGATGAGATAGATAGATAGATAGATAGATTGAGAGAGATAGAGTCATTGTAAGGACTGAGAGAGTGAGTGGGATGTGGGGTGGTTGTGACTTCGGAGGGGAGGGTGGAGTGGGCGGAATTTTAATTATTTATTTATTTATTTTAATTAAAAATATAAAAAAACTAAAATAATTTATACAAGAAATATTTAAGGATATATTTGTCATTTCATGTGGGATATGGACCAAAACCACAAAAAATGTCAACTATAGGACCAAAACCACACGATCTATTCAAATTTGGACAATTGATGTACCATTAAACGTTTTTGGATCAAAATCATATATTTTTGATAAACAGAAAGACTATTTTTACAATTTTGTCAAATTCTTTAAAAAAAAATATGGTCAATATCCCTTTATTCAATGTTACATTTTATTTAATTATCTTCACTTTTAGTCAAAGTATGTGATGTTCTAAACGCTTTTCAAAGAACAAAATAAATAAATAAATGCAGGGAAAAGTGACATCTCTTTATATTTAATTATCCTCATATTTATCTTATGTTATGGGGTTCACCTGTTCAAGGAATGCATCATCAGCTTCATTCATTTAATAGATTTTCTTAAAAGGCCACAACTATTGACCTGTCTCCATTGACCCATTCACATAATTGACTCGATCATACAAGATAAATATAATATCTTTTTACTTTTTTTCCTTTTTTTTTTCTATACGATAACAAATGTCTTAAATTATTATTAATTTTATTAAAATGTAAGACTTGTCGGTTGTCATGGTTTTCCATGAGTAGAAAAATATATATATATATATAGATGAATATTTAATTTCTCTTCACACAATTTGGACATGCTAATGGTCTAAATTAATTAATATTGGTATAAGTTACATAATTTAGATCTATTAATACATTAACTAATTAACATAATTTGGACCTGAGAATCGTCTGAATATTATTATCAGTTACATAATTTTATTCTGAAGTAAAACACACTCCAAGTGAAACTTGCACTAAAATTTATCTGAAAAAAAATCATGTCTAACTATTTTAAATTTATTTTCTAACGTTGTTTTTCTTTTTCTTCCTAGCTATATTGTCATGAGGAATACAATTCAAAGAGTAATAAGTCCTTTGTGGAAAAGTATGACATTTAACTTCTACATAAAAGACAATCCTTGTGGAAAAATATGAAATTGCCATAAAATTCTTTTTAGAATAAAAGGAAATGAAATAAACAAGAACAAAGGGTAGCTCAAGTATAAAGTAGGATTTACCCAAACCATCCTTTTTATAAAACAACATGGCAAAGCAAATAATGTCTTCTTCAAACTTCTTATTTTTCTCTCTTGTTCTACTAATCATTACAGTACTCTCGCCTGTTCCAAATTTTGCTTCTGCTTCTGTGGAGGAAGGCAATGCTCTTCTTAAATGGAAAGAAACCCTTCAAATCTCAAACAACTCCTTACTTTCTTCATGGATTCCCCTCCCATTGAATTCCAGTACATCGATCCCATGCACTTCTTGGTTTGGAGTAGTTTGCAATGCTGATGAGAGCATTCAGAAGTTGAATCTCACGTCTTCTGGGTTAAGAGGTACGCTTCAAGAAATTTCATTCTTTTTGCTACAAAATCTTACACATTTTGATCTCAGTGTAAACAGCTTCTTTGGCCCTATTCCACCACAAATCCGACTCCTGTCCAAACTTATCTATCTTGATTTTTCACAGAATAAGTTTTCTGGTGAAATCCCACCTGAAATTGGAAGCATGGTCTCACTTGAGTTCCTAGACTTATCCTCAAACAATCTATCTAGCACAATTCCTTCATCATTGGGTGTTTTGACATCTTTAAATGTCCTTTCTTTGTACCAAAATCAGCTCTCTGGTCCCATTCCTTCATCACTTGGAAATCTGAGCAACCTACAATCTCTGTACGTAGCTGAGAACAATTTATCTGGTCCCATTCCTAATGAACTTGGGAATTTGAAATCTCTCACTTTTCTGGTGATGGCCATGAATCGACTTAGTGGTTACATTCCTTCATCACTAGCAAACCTGAGCAACCTATATCGTCTGAACCTGGCTCATAATAAGTTATCTGGTCCAATTCCTATTGATCTTGGGAAATTGAAGTCTCTCACTAGGCTTCTGGTAAGCAACAATACACTTAGTGGTTCTATTCCTTCATCAATTGCAAATCTGAGCAACCTACAATTTCTGTTCCTCGATCAGAATAAATTATCTGGTCCAATTCCTATTGAACTTGGGAATTTGAAGGCTCTCACTAATTTCCAAGTGAGCCAAAATCTACTAAGTGGTTCTATTCCTTCCTCCCCTAGAAAACCTCAGTAACCTACAGTGTATGTTCCTACAAAGGAATAATTTTTCTGGTCTCATTCCTAATGAACTTGGGAATTTGAAGTCTCTCACTGATCTTGTAGTAAGTAACAATCAACTTAGTGGTTCTATTCCTTTATCTCTAGCAAACCTGAGTAACCTACAGCTTCTGTACCTAGATGTGAATAAATTATCTGGTCCCATTCCTACTGGACTTGGGAATTTGAAGTCTCTCACTGATCTTGACATTAGCAACAATAAACTCAGAGGTAGCATACCACCAGAGTTTGCAAATTCAACGCGATTACGAAGGCTTGATCTTTCTTCCAATCATTTGGTAGGTGAAATCCCTAAGAAATTTGGGAAGATGAAAAGTATGCTGAGTTTGTACTTGTCTAATAACCAACTTTCAGGCAATATACCTCTGGAGCTTGGATCATTCCATGAACTCCTTGTACTAGATCTATCCACAAACAGATTGAATGGGTCGATACCCAGAAGTATTGGTCAATGGGCACAAATCAATTACCTGAATCTTAGTAATAACAAGCTCAGTGGAAAAATCCCATCCGAGATTGGTAAATTAGTTAATCTTGAGAAACTTGATTTATCTCAGAATTTATTCACACAAGAGATACCATCTGAAGTTCAAACTTTGCAAACATTGCAAAAATTGAATCTTTCCCACAATATGCTATCTGGTTCTATTCCTAATGCTTTTACAAATTTGCATGGTGGAATTGATATTGACCTGTCTTACAATGAGCTCACAGGTCCGGTTCCACTGAGCCCCAACTTGTTGAATGCGTCCGTACAAGGTAATCCAGGTTTGTGTGGAAATGTTACGGGAGTGAAACTTTGTACAAGTCAAATTATGAAGAAGAAAAACGATCCCTTTCGTCAGAAGCTCATCCTTGTAATTATGCTCCCCCTTATAGGGGTAGTTTTACTTGGTTTATTAACGTATGGTCTCATTGCTTATCGACAACAAAGGAAAAAGTCTCCACATAAACCATTGGAAGAAGAAAGTGGTGATTATTTCCACATTACAAGTTTTGATGGTAAAGTAGTGTATGATGATATCTTGAAGGCAACAAATGGTTTCAATGAAGCCTACTGTATAGGGACAGGAGGATACGGTATTGTTTACAAGGCTAAGCTACAACCTGACAATGTGGTTGCTGTCAAGAAACTTCATTCATCATCCGACGATGTTGATCATAGTGGTTTCCTTAATGAGGTACGGGCATTAACGAACATAAGGCATCGAAACATAGTGAAACTCTATGGATATTGCTCCCATGCCCACAACTCAATTTTGATTTATGAATACCTTGAAAATGGCAGCCTTGGATCAATTTTAAAAAACGATGTATTAGCAAAAGAATTGGATTGGTTAACAAGGGTCAATATTGTAAAGGGCGTTGCTAATGGTTTGGCATATATGCATCACGATTGTTCACCGCCTATAGTGCATAGAGACATTTCCATATCCAACATCCTTCTCGATTCTGATTATGAGGCACGAATTTCTGATTTTGGCACATCCAAGCTTTTAAAGCTAGACTCATCAAACTGGACTGCAGTAGCAGGAACCTATGGTTATATCGCTCCAGGTAACATAATCTTGTGATTGTAGTTCTACATCTTCTTAAGTTTCATGATTTACATAAATATGTATCTACGTTAGAATCATGTGAGGTTGATATAGCTTTTTGTTTTTTTTCTTATGTTTCTTTGGATGTAGAGCTTGCTTATACGATGGTCGCAAATGAGAAATGTGATGTGTATAGCTTTGGAGTTGTTGCACTAGAAGTGGTCATGGGAAAGCATCCTGGAGAACTCATAACATCTTTACCAACATTATCAGATGATCATCATCTGGTGTTAGCAAATGTGGGAGACAGTCGGATACCGCCTCCCTCATCCCAAGTTGAGAAAGAAGTTATGTCAGTATTGAGAGTCTCAAGAGCATGTTTGAACTACAATCCACTTGAAAGGCCAACGATGCACCAAGTTTCAAATCTGTTGATGAAGGCCTAATATAGTGTACTTTCAATGTTCTTTATTTTTCAGTAGTTTCCTATGATGCACCCTATGATATTTATGCAACTAGATGCCTTCTTGTTAAGATACTACAGATATGTTTTCTTAAATCCGCATTTAAATGCCTTCTTGTTAAGATACTTGTTAGATACTACTACCGATATGTTTTCTTGCATCAGCATTTAAATGCCTTCTTGTTAAGATACTACTGATACGTTTTCTTATATCAGCATTTATATTCCTTCTTGTTAAGATACTCTGGATATGTTTTCTTATGTCATTACGTAGTAGATAAATAAGTCAATGAAAATTGCAATCCTTCTAGAAATTTAGCTACACAAGTTTCTCTTGTAGTTTAGCTACGGATTTGCATTAGCTATCTTTTCAGGTGATATTTAGCAACTTTTTCCATCACTTGGATTTCCAATACATGTAAAAAGTAGCAAAATAACATTGGTAAATTAATTTTATACAACATAAAAAATATTATATATTTTATGTCAAATAAATCCAAATTCAAATACATAATTTCCATGGGTTTGCAAAGCGTATACAGAAGGTTTCAATTACAATTCCTCTTAACTCTTGATACAAGCTTCTTATGAATTACATGTTGAAGAATCTTAACACTACCATAAGAAGACTGTATTGTATTACTCTAAAAAAAAAAAAAAAAAAAAAAAAACGTTTAAGTGTTTAACTACTGTATGTTCTTTAAACTGATAATATGGATGCTCGACTCTGCTGCTTTCACTTGCTGTGATTTTATTTTCAGTTTATGTGGTTGAGTGTTACTTATTCATATATTTTATGTATTCTCAACACAAGATTTTTTTAAAGAATGTTGTAGTGTTACTTATTCAGTTACATCTTCTGTATCTTGTAATAACTCAAGCCAATCATACGGTAAATTTTTTCCCAAGACCTAATCTTATACTCTACGTTGTCCATTTAGTATCTGCCTATAAAAAGGTAAGATGAAAATTAACCAAATGAATATTTTATCACAAACGCATAGTTAAAAATCTAAAACAGGGAAAATAACAGAGTTTCAATCATGAAAGAGACTTTAAATCCCTTAAGTACATTATACATGTGGTTGTAAAAGCAATGATAAAGGCTTAATTCTATGAATATCAAACACGGCAAATGTATTGTGCTCATTTTATGCAAAAGAGTTGAAACAATTTGCAATTGACCTAAATGTAAAAATAGCCAACTGGTGAGAGTTTGGCAAAACTAGTAAAGTAAATATTTGAGTACAAGGCTAAAAAAGAAAACCAATACATTTGATTTGGGACTAATGTAACTAATCTAAAAGGGAAGTTTGTAGAAAATTCCCATGATTTTGAGAAAAAATCAACGATTAAATCCCAATTTTTTTTTTATAGAAAAGCCCAAAAAAAGAGACAATTTTATTTTATTTATTTATTATTTTAGCCTCTTTTGATATGTTCAGTCATGGGACCACATCGTTAATTTTCAAAAAATAATGAGATTTTTCTATAGATTTTCGGGATATATACACTAAAGTCCCAATATTTTCATCGATTTGACAAGAAAGTCCTAAACTTTATTTTTTTGACAGTAAAGTCCAAATTACCGACAGTTTTTGACACTTTTACCCTTTTTTCCGGTTAGACGGTAATTAGGATTTTTTTTGTCAAAAAAATAAAGTTTATGACTTTCTTGTCAAATCGTCAATTAGGACTTTACTGTAAAAAAAAATAAAGTTTAGGACTTTCTGTCAAATCGTTGAAAATATTGGGACTTTAGTGTATATATCCCTTTTTTTGTTAGAAATTTAATAGTATGATACTCTTTAAGCATAAGAGTTATTGAAACATTCTCTAGTCAGCTAGATCCTATTGAAATGTAACATCACAAAATCGAGACCCAAATTTTTTTGTTTAATTATATTACTTATAAAAATAGTTTACGAAAAACATCGTTGCTATCATTTCAAAACATCAAGTCACAAATCACAAGTATCGAAAACCATAACATCAAATAGCAAAATGTCAGAGTACAATCCCAGGGTTCTCAAAGCGGAAGTCATGTGTGTGCGATGCGCTGCTACCCTGCCGGCTCCTTCCCCTTAGCTGAAGAGGTACCCGAAACCAAAACTAAAAACTGTAAGCACGAAGCTTAGTGAGTTCCCCCATCATACCACATACCATACAATCATATATACTGCCAGACAATTCTGGGGTGCCCGATCTACCCATGTCAAGCCATTCCGGGGTGCTGACCTACCCATGTCAAGCCATTCTGGGGTGCTGACCTACCCGTGTCAGGCCATTCTGGGGTGCCTGCCTACCCTCCGGTCTATCTCACCCGGTCATGAGGACTATTTCACCCCCTACTACTATCACATAACAATATATCACACTCATGCTGTCATACATATCTGGGGTGTTCGACCTACCCTTCGGTCCTAACGACCGAATCGGGGGACTATTCCCCTCCTACTACCATTATCACATATAACATATCATACTGGCACATAGAACACATTAAGTAATAGCAAACCAGACAATTATCACAAAGACAATCGTCTCAACTATAATCAACTACTAGTGGGTCGGCCTTGGTGCCTTAGACCCACTTCTACTGAAAGGTAACTCACCTCAATGTCATGTAGTGTCTGCACTATCCTCTGTGTGAAAATCGACTCTTCCCGACTCCTCAACCCCTACACAACATCCTTTCTAAATTACCATTTCATACCCATAACCCCTACAAGGGTCAACTCAAGTCCAAGACAAAGTCAAGGTCAGAACATTGGTCAAAGTCAACTTTGGTCAAAGTCAACATCTGGTTGACCAGACTCGCCGAGTTGGTTCACCAACTCGTCGAGTCCCCTTGTCCACGAAAAGCTACAACCTCGTCCCTACTCGTCGAGTCTAGCAAGAGCTCGACGAGTTCGCCTTCAACAACACATCGGTCCTTCTTCAACCGACTCGCCGAGTTCCTCCTTGAACTCGTCGAGTTCATCTTCATCCGTTGAAACCTTGAAGGTATTTAGTCTATGACGGCTCACACTTGCCGAGTTCTATGACTTCCAGGTCCCTAATGAGTCCAAACAACCGAGGCACCTTCAATCATAGCATCTGGTCCATTAACAGAAAGGATTTGATGGAAAATACGTCCCGACTCGCCGAGTCCCATGAACGACTCGCCGAGTCCATTTTTGTCCAAAACTATACAGTCGATTTTACTTGGTCTAAAATGCATCAAAACCATAGATCTGACCTCCTATGGTCTATTTTATACGTAAAGTTCCAATCTTGACGTCCATGCATGGGGGTTTTTGGCTCAAAAGCCATAAAAAGAGGTATATAAGAAGCATGGGTCTCCCATAGCCATAAAGTTGGCACCTTTATGCCATGGGAACCCTCAATGGTTCCAGATCTGAAGTGTAACTCCAAACACACTCACAAAATACGACTATAACTTCACAACTCTTAAAAAAGGGGTAGAACATAGCCCCAAAACAAGATCTAAGAGATAGATGGTCAATGTTCAAGCTTTTTATCTTGAATGAACTGAGAATGAAGCAAAACCTCTGGATCTACTAGCTTCCACTTGAACTCCCAAGCTTCCTTCTTCTCTTCCAACTTCAAATGCACACAAAAGTCACCAAAAAGCTCAAGAACACTCAAAAGAGGCTTAGGGTTCGAGTTAGGGCTTTCTCTGGGTTGGGAGGAACAATGGAGGCTGGGTTGGGGCGTTATAAGTTGTTTAAATAGGGTGCAAACCCTAAATATTAGGGTTTCATACAGACATCTTCTACTCGTTGAGTCGGTCTCCCGACTCGTCGAGTAGATCATTAAACTTCCCGGTCAATATCGAGTCTAATCGACGAGTTGGGCCTCCAACTCGCCAAGTCCCAGAGCAAAACATGAATTACTTGAATTTAAATACGCGCCAGGAACTGGGCGTTACAAATCTCCCCCACTTATTTAAGACTTTGTCCTCGAAGTCTGCTGCTAAATCCGGAAAAAGCTCGGGGTAGTGCTCCCTCATCTCGTCCTCCGGCTCCCAAGTCCATTCCGAGCCCTTGCGGTGCTTCCATTGCACCTTCACCAACTCCACCTTCTTGTTCCTCAGATCCTTCGACTTCCTGTCGAGGATCGCCACTGGCCGCTCGATGTAGTTCAGGCTGTCATCCACCTGAATATCCTCCAAATACACCACTACCGAGTCGTCCACCAGGCACTTCCGTAACTGGAAGACGTGAAAGGTACTGTGAATCTGACTGAGTTCGGCTGCCAGATCCAGCCTATATGCCACCTTGTCCACCCGGGCTACAACCCTGAAAGGTCCAATGTACCTGGGGCCCAACTTACCCCGCTTCCTGAACCGAATGATGCCTTCCCAGGGCGACACCTTCAGGAGCACCATATCCCCGACCTGGAATTCCAGGTCCGAACGACGCTTGTCGGCATAAATTTTCTGCCGAATCTGAGCAGTCTGAAGCCTGCTCCGCACCTGCTGGATCCTCTCCGTAGTCTTGAGTACCACTTTGGTACTCCCCATGACCCTCTGGCCAACCTCACCTCAGCATATCGGGGTCCTGCACTTCCTCCCCGTACAACATCTCGAAGGGAGGACCATCTATACTCGCGTGATATCTGTTATTATAGGAAAACTCTGCCAGAGGAAGGTAAGTATCCCAACTACCTCCAAAGTCTAAAACACACGCCCGCAACATATCCTCTAGAGTCTGGATGGTTCGCTCACTCTGACCATTCGTCTGCGGGTGAAAAGCGGTGCTAAAGTGCAGACGAGTACCCAGATCGTCGTGAAACTTCTTCCAGAATCTAGAAGTGAACCGCACATCTTTGTTGGAAATCACCGAAACTGGCACCCCGTGCCGAGCCACTACCTCTCTGATATAGATGTCGGCCAACTTTTCGGCCGAAATGCTCTCCTGAATCGGAATGAAATGGGCACTCTTGGTCAATCGATCCACGATGACCCAAATCGAATCCACTCCCCGCGCGGTCCTGGGAAGCTTCGTGATGAAATCCATGGTGATATCTTCTCATTTCCATAGCGGGATATCCAACGGCTGGGTCTTGCCGTGAGGCCTCTGGTGCTCG